CTGCACTCCAGTCTGGGCGACAGAGTGAGACTCCAACTCAAAAAAAAAGAAAAAGAAAGGCTGAGGTGGAAAGTTTGCCTGAGCCCAGCAGGTTGAGGCCGCAGTGGCCGTGAACATGCCACTGCATTCCAGCCTGGGCGAGGGAGTGAGACTTGACTAAAGCAAAGACAAAACAAACTGAGGTGCATGGCTCTGCTAATGTCACACAGCGAGGAGGAGGCAGGACTGGGTTGGGAACCGGTCTGAGTCTCCAAAGCCGACATTTTGAGTCTCCAAAGCTGACGTTTTCTGTTTTGAAGGACATAACTCCCTGATGACTCAGTTATAGCCCCACATTCTCCACCTTTGGCCTCACAGGAAGTCTGCAGGGGCTGTCGTGACAGCCAAAAGGAGGCCTGGGGCACTCAGAGAGCAGTCTAGCTCCCAGCTGCTGCCTGGAGTCAGACATTAGCAGCTGTGTGACCTGGGGCAAGTTCCATGCCCTCTCTGAGCCTCAGTCTCCTCACCTGTAAAATGGGCGCAACAAGAGCACCTACTCCGTGGGGCTCCTGCCTGGGGGATGGTGAGTGCTGGGTGCTGTGCCACCTGCCCTCACCACTGTGACTCATCCTCGCCCTCTGCCTGGTCGGTCTGCAGACGAGGGAGGCAAGGACCACCTCCGGGCGGGCAAGCTGAACCTGGTGGACCTGGCGGGCAGCGAGCGGCAGTCCAAGACGGGGGCCACGGGGGAGCGGCTGAAGGAGGCCACCAAAATCAACCTGTCGCTGTCGGCGCTGGGCAACGTCATCTCGGCACTGGTGGACGGGCGCTGCAAGCACATCCCCTACCGGGACTCGAAGCTGACGCGGCTGCTGCAGGACTCGCTGGGTGGCAACACCAAGACGCTGATGGTGGCCTGCCTGTCGCCCGCCGATGACAACTACTGCGAGACCCTCAGCACGCTGCGCTATGCCAGCAGAGCGAAGAACATCAAGAACAAGCCTCACATCAACGAGGACCCCAAGGACGCCCTCCTTCGCGAGTACCAGGAGGAGATCAAGAAACTCAGGGCCATCCTGGCCCAGCAGATGTGCCCCGGCGACCTGTCAGGTGGGCCGGCAGGGGGCTGGCGGGAGGGCGCGTGGTGAGGAGCCAGCCTGACCCTTGTCTCTGGCCTCCACTTCCCCCCTGAGATGGTAGGGCCATGTCCCCACCTCCCCTCCGCCTCATGTGAACCGGCCCCGTGAGCAGCCGGGGAGAGCCCTGGTGGGTGACGGCCCCGATGCGTCTGCTTGTCACTGGCCTGAGGAGGAGGCTCGTCTGTCTGGCCTGTCCCTCCGGCCTCAGGCTCTGTCACCCACTCTCCGCCTCCAGCCTGCCCACTTGTCATCTCTCCTGTCTCTGTGACAGCATCAGGACGCTGCGCTCAGCAGCTGGTGACTCACCCCCGCATCTCACCCCGGTCTCTCCTTACCCACCTATTACTGCAGTGCTCAGGCATATGGCTGTCACCTGTAAATCCAGGCTGGGGCCCAGGCCTGATGGCCTTTGGAACTGAGGGACTCCAGGACGGTCCTTGTCTCAGGGTCCTCTGGGGAGGAAGCAAGAGAGCTTGGGTCTGTCTGTCCCTTTGTGCACCTTCGTCTCCATCCACTCCACATATGCCTGATCGTCAACCCATTTGTCCACCCATCTGCCACCCACCCGTTTCCCCATTCGCCCACCTGCCTTTTCATCTACCCACCTGCCTCTCCACCCACTCTGTTATTTATCCGTCTACCCTCTCACGCATCTACCCAACCATCCGCTCGCTATTCCTGTCCATCCCCTCACCATCCACCCATCCAGTCACCATCTACCCACCCACCCATTCAGTCATCCACCCACCCATTCACCCATCATCCACCTATCTGTCACCATCCTCCCACTTACCACCCCCCGTCCACCTGTCTTCCCACCCACCCACCCT